CAAAGGTGATGATGGGCTGGTGATGAGTTTTAAAGATTTAAAATTTTTATTTTATATTTATTAAAATATAAAATTATAAAATTTATAAAAAAATTTAATAAATTTGTTTCATCACCAATTTAGACAGTCTAAATTTAATTTAGAGAGTTTAAATTTAATATTAAAATTTTTATAATTTTTATAAGTTGGCTATGCAAATTTAGCAGCTTAGATTTAAAAAATATCTTCCTGGAAAGTGCAGTAGATTATCTTAAAATAAAAAATATAAAATAATTTTAATATTAAATCTTGACTATATAAGTACATTTAAATTGTCAATATATAAAAAATATATAAAATTTTAATATTAAATTGGAATGTTTAGACTAAATATGTATAATCCAAGATAATTCTCAAATTCTCTTTCAATTACATTGGCCATCTCTTCAAGATATCGACTTCATAAATATCTGTATCACAATTATTTGATTCAAAACTTTTTTTATACTCCCAACGATTAGTACACTTGTCATCTTTAGTCTCTCCATACTTATGCTGACACTTATAATTTTCATAAATTTTATGGCACACTAAATAGTCTTCCAACTCAGATGCATTAATCCGCTTTAAAAGATCATATCTTATACAAAGACACACTATTCTTCTAGGGACTTTTATATGCTCCAGTGCAAACCTTATAAACTCTTTCACACTATTCAAATACTCTTTACTTAATCGATTGGCAGGTAGGCATTCCTTATCCATAACTTTAATTTAGAAAAAAATTCATACAAGAAAATGTGGTCCATGACTCATGAATATGGAGAGGATGTGAATGATACAATGATGAAAAAAGAGATTGACTACTCTACATATAATATAGAGTATTCAATGAATCACGAGTCACATGCATGAGCAATTCACATATTCTTTCTACCACAAAAAAAAAATTTCGGTAGTATAATGGTATGAAAAAAGTATTCCCCATTCTCAAATCCTTTTTCTAAACCTGGCGCATTATCTCAACAAACAAATTTCAACCATACACAATTCCAATAGCAACAAGATCTTCACAAAATAACATTTTCAAAGCAATCGCTAGTAAATTACGGCCATTCAAATCAACTCTAATTATTATGTAATTTGGCTCACTAGTATATTTCAATATATAGTTTTCAATAATACAATTACCCAAGTCAAATAAGACTTGAAATTTAAATTATAAAATTATCTCAAAAATTCATTAAAAAATCTTAGAAAATAAAAAGAAAAACACCATGAACATCATTTTCAATCATTTTTTTATCTCATTGATCATTTTAAGGTTACTCATCCTACAATAGCAATCCCAAGCCAAGAAAACATTATTCATTAACAAATGCCAAAATCTCAACCAAATAGCTATGATTTTCAGAGAAACCGCATGTCAGTTTCGGCCACTCAAATCAACTCAAACTGTAATAAAATTTGGCACACTAGTACATTTTAGTATGTAGTTTCTAATGATGGAACTACTTTGATCAAACAAGGTATATAATTTAAATTAAAAATTATTCAAAAACTTCGTTCAAAATTCATAGAAAAATATAATAATCATGAATATCCATTTTGATAACTCATTTTCAACCTCATAATCATCCTAAGGCTACTCATATCATTCATTAGTATTCTCAAGTCAAGAATGCATCAAACATTATCAATTTTTGATAACCCATAATACCAAAATTAAGCAACAAATGAGCATAAAGTTAAACAAGTAAAATCAATCAATAAAACTATCCAAAACAATTAATGAATCACTCCCACAACTAAGAAATCAAAGAATATTGAAAGAAAAGCAAGAAAACGCAAAGGAAACACATCTCAAACTAAAAAAGATTGAAACTCAAAGAAAAAGACCTCAAGACAATGAACGACAGCATAGGCAACAACGGCTTCACATCAGAGCAAAGCATGGTGGCTGACAACAACAATGGAGGCACTATGTGGGAGTTTTTTCAATTTCATGGGTAAGTGCAAAAGAGAGAGAAGAAAGGAGATTATCCTACATAATACTAAAAATGAAACTCATAACAGAGTTTTAAAAGAGAATAAATGACAGGCATTTAAATGCCGGTCATTTATTCGCTCATAAATGATGAGTGTTTCATTCTTTGTCATGACTTTAAGTGATGAGTGTTACAAACACCCATCATTTAAAGTTTATTTTTTTTAATAATCAAAAACTAAAACTTTATATGATGGGTGTTTCAAACATCCATAATTTATTGTTCTACCTTTGTATGATGAGTGTTTAAAAAATTCGTCATATAAAGTTTAAATTTTTTTAATTTTTTTATAAAATGTTATATGACGAGTTTTTAAACATTCATCATATAATATATTAAAATAAATGACGGGTGTTTTAAACACAATTATTTATTGTTTTAACCATCATCGTCTCACCATTATATAACGCATTTTTTTAACCATCATTTTTGTTGGCATCTTGTATCCATAATTTTGTAGTAGTGTAAATTTCAACCAACTTTAGCTAACTAACTATATTAACTTGAATTTGTAGTGACTCTTTGTATATTGTATTTCGAGAATGTCTACTACTTTTGGTATGCAACTATACATATAGACAAAGTCCTTGAAGATGTTGCCCATGTCATGTTCAACATGAAGGCAGCGGTAGTGATTAGGCCTAATAATTAATTTAGGTATATATATTTACACATTACATTTTTTGGCCACTTTTATGTTTTAGGTCACTTAGTTATAAAATTTAGTTTGTAAATTAGTTAGGATTATAGATTTGTTAGGGCTTAAGGTTTAGGGTACAAGAACTTTAATATATTTAGATCGTAATTTTAATAGAAATATTGATTGTATTGTTTTTGGTTACTAGCAGATAAATTGCTTGTGTAAATTTGTAGGAGGCTGCTTTTCTATTAAAAAAATTACCATAAATACTTTACAATTGTTTCGTAATAGCTGTCAAGTATTCATAAACTTAATGGTTATTTGATAATAGCTGTCAAGTATTTAAGAATACTTTGAATATTTGACAATTATTATCAAATAACCATCAAACTTTTATGATAAAAATTTATTATAAATACTTGATAATTATTTTATAATAATCATTAAGTGTTTGAAATATATGCTTTTAGAATTGGCCAAAAGCTAAACTTGAAAGTCGATCCTTAATGGTTACTATCAAATAATTGTCAAGTACGACTCTTAATATTTGATGATTAAAAATTATTAAATATTGACAAAAATAACCATTAAGTTAGGGGTCTTCTATGGTAGTGTGATGCTATTGGGGGAAGAAAAGATTAATTCTAACAATCTCGAAATGATCGACAATAACTGATAAAAATTTAAATTAATCCCACTATCATCCGGCCGCGATAGTCCAACTGAAGACACCGGGAAAGGAGGAGAGTAGATTATGAGCATATCGAATTAATTCCACAAATGTACATCTAACGTTGAACGAAAAATTAAAAATCACGGCGAAAGTTCATGTTTCAACCCCTCGCAAAAATTAAATTTGCAAAGAAAAATGCTGGTTTTTTTTTTTTTCCCTCGCCTCTGGATAACTTGCGATCAGATTTTTTTTTTTTTTCGTTTTCCAATATTGTTGAGCATTGATTATCTTATCAAACTGGAGTTGAGTCGGATGAGAGGAGACTCGGTCAAAGTCATCGTCAACACGTCCTCTGGGGTTCGAGAAGACACTGCCGCTCACAGCCAAAAGATTGGAAAAGTTGAATAATCTTGGTAAAAAGAGTCTATAATAAATATATAAAATTCAAAGGTGATGATGAAAATCGTCTTCAGCTTCGGTGCTGGTGATGAGATTTAAACGTTCTAAATTTAAATTTTTTTATTTTATATTTATTAACATATAAAATCATAAAAGTTATAAAAAATTTAATAAATTTGTTTTATCACCAATTCGGACAATTTAAATTTAATTAAATGATTTAAATTTAATATTAAAATTTTTATAAGTTCACTGTGCAGATTTAGAGGCTTAGATTTAAAATTTTTAAATTATAATTTTTCTAAGTGCAGGAGATTATCTTAAAATAAAAAATTACAAAATAATTTTAATATTAAATTTGGATTATAGAGGAATATTTAGATAGTTAATATATAAGAAATATATAAAATTTTAATATTAAATTAGACTGTTGAAACTAAATATGTAGGGGGAATTTTAATAAAGAATCCTTGACCAAACTTATTTAAATTTAAAATCCTTAAATTTTTAAAATTTTAGTACTGTCCAAGGGTACTAATATTATATTAAATTTCTAAAAGAATGATAAAATTTCCCTTTATTTAAATTAATTTCGAGATTGCCCTACTTTATTTATTAATTGCCTTACTTTATTTGTTCATTTACTTATGGAATGTTGTTTGTTGCCCCGCTTCACTTGTTTTCATTTTAGATGTTTAAATAATCTTAAGACAACTTGTTGATTTATATATTGTATATTGTTTATTTAATTACGGACTATTATTAATTGCCCCACTTCACTTGTTCATTATCATAATTTCACTTGATTTCATTCTAAAAAAACAAACAAGTTAAGTAAGGCAATTAACAAGTAAAGTAAGGAAGTTCTTATATTAATTTAAAGGAGGGATAATTTTATCATTTTTCTTATAAATTTAATATCAAATCAGTACTCTTTAACTGTAGTAAAATTTTAAAAATTTACGAGCTTTAAATTTAAATAAGTTTGGTCAAGGTTTACGTAACATCAATGAACAGATTGATTAAATTTTTTTTTATAAATTTTTATTTTAATAAATATAAAATAAAAACTTTAAATATAGATTGTGGAATCTCATGGACTATCAGCGGTGCACCGATGAAAATCCAAGCAAGCCGAAGAGATCAGAGGCGAGAGGCCATTAAATGAATCGTGGGGACAGAATTGAATGGAGCTAGTGTGCATGGCATGTATAAAATGGCACAACGAGTCAGGTTTTGGTGAATCAGAAAGGATAGAGTGATGGGGTTGAGAACGCTGGTTTTGAGAGTGGCTTTAGTGGCGTGCACACTGGGCGCAGCAGCCGCCCAATTGAAAGCGCGTTGCGACAGCAAGTGCGGGAACGTGAGCATCCCGTATCCCTTCGGCACAAGAGAAGGCTGCTTCAGAGATCCTTCTTTCCTCATAACCTGCAACTCTTCCTCCGGATTCCCCATTCCCTATCTGAGAAAAGGCAACATCCGAGTTCTCAACATCTCCCTGCACCCTGCAGAGATGCGCGTCTCTACTCTCGTCCCTTATGACTGCTATTATCCCAACGGAACCAATCATCGGCGAAAGAGTACTCTGACCCTTAAGAAGTTTGCCATATCCAATACCAAGAACAAATTCTACGTGGTCGGCTGTGACACCTACGCGTGCCTAATTGGAAACGACTTTGCAACTGGCTGCGTCTCCGTTTGCAGTAACTTGACGCACATGACGAACGGATCCTGTTCTGGCGTTGGCTGCTGCACGACCACTTTCCCCCAAGCCATTCGGAATTTCAATCTCAGTATTGGTAGCTATGAAAACCACACACACGTGCTGGCCTTCAATCCTTGCAGCTACGCGTTTGTGGCGGAGGATGGATCCTTCAACTTTACCACCCAAGACCTGCTCAATCTGCACAAGAGACCAACGTCTCCTGTGCTTCTCAACTGGGCTGTTGACAACCAGACATGCGCCCATGCCCGACAGAATTCGAGCAGCTACGCTTGCAAAGCCAACAGTGAATGCTATGAATCAGAAGCTGGTATTGGGTACCTCTGCAGATGTAAGGAGGGGTTCAAAGGCAACCCTTACCTCTCTCACCCGGATTCAGGCTGCCGAGGTAGCAAGTTACAACCTCGTTACACGTTTGTTTGAGATGCCTCATACCAGATTGGTTTTAACATTGATTGTGCCGTGTAATTTCTGCAGATACCAATGAGTGCGCCACTCAAAAACTTTGCAGTATGAGATGCCACAACTTGGACGGCAACTATACTTGTTCTTGTCCCCCGGGATATAAAGGCGACGGTTACATTCATGGATCCGGCTGCAAATTCCCTTTCCTTGAAATATCATTAGGTACGTGCCAATGTATACCGCAACCCCCTTAATTAACGTTCCAGCTACTTATTTAATTTCAATTCGACAGCTTCACCACTAAAAGCACTTAATTTTACATTCGTGACAATGAATAGTTTTAATCAAAATTCTTCTCAAGGACTACAAATATAAATTAAATACGGTTGTCCGTCGGTGATTTGTAGGTTTATCCTTTAAATTACATCACAACATCGTCTTTTTGATCTTACAAATTAAGTTACTAACAAATTCCAAACATTCTTCCAATACTGAAAAGATCAATTTCTAATTTAAAAAATCAATTTCTAATTTAAAAAAGTGTGACTGATTTAAAAGAGCACGAGTAAAATCTTGCTTTTGTAGTTACCATGAAAGGTTGACATACGCTATAATTTTACAGAATGAGTTATTTTACAAGCATAATAGTTTATTTCTATATATTCCCCCCCTAAAAAAAAAACTAATCCTCAGAATCTATACTTTCCATAAATATACAATTATGAGCCAGATGTTTGTATTGCCTTTATATTTGGCACTTTAAAGAAGGATTCTCAATGCCTTGTCCTAAGGTTGATGACTGAGCATATAAATCCGTCCCACAAATTTAAACGCATGTTTCAACCCAGAAATATTTAACCACAGTTAGTTTCGGCAGGGTCACATTGGTTAATTTGAACTACACCAATAGGTAATTGGACCAGTGAGAGCGTTGAGTTGGAAGGGAACGATGGGAAATAGACAGAGCATTGGCATCTAGATCTAGATTCATGTGTTACTGTTAAGACCATTCACTGCTCATAATAATATCTTGAACAACAATGCATGCAGGAATTAGTGTAGCCTTGCTGGTTTTTTTCATGCTACTCTCCACGTTATATTGGGTGCACAGGCAAAGAACAATGAAAAAATTGCGAAGGAGATATTTTGAACAAAATGGAGGAACTATGCTGCAACAATTTTCGCAAGGACAAGGATACTCTGAGAGAACTAGGATATTTACTGAAAATGAGCTTAAGAGTGCCACAAACAACTTTGATGAAAGTAGAATTCTTGGTCGAGGAGGACAAGGGACAGTGTACATGGGTATATTACCAGACAAAACACTCATTGCCATTAAGAAGTCTCGAGTAGGAGGAGATCCTAGACAAATTAAAGATTTTATTAATGAAATGGCCGTTCTTTCTCAAATCAACCATACAAACGTAGTCAAAATTTTGGGGTGTTGTCTTGAAACTGAAGCTCCTTTGTTGGTTTATGAGTTTGTGGACAATGGCACACTTCTTGATCACATAGATCCTTTAAAGAATGAGTTCTCTTTTTCATGGGAGACTCGATTGAGGATAGCTGCAGAAACTGCTGAAGCTATTTCATATTTACACTCTTATGCTTCAATTCCAATTATTCATCGGGATATCAAATCTGCTAACATACTTTTAGACCATAACCTCAAGGCAAAGGTATCTGATTTTGGAGCTTCAAGACTTGTTCCTCTTGATGAAACTCAAGTTACCACAGTGGTGCAAGGGACACTTGGATACTTGGATCCAGAGTATCTTCACACAAGCCAGTTGAATGAAAAGAGTGATGTTTATAGCTTTGGAGTTGTACTTGTGGAGTTATTGACAGGAAATAAAGTAGTTGAATTCAATAGACCGGAACAAAGAAACTTGGCCATGTACTTTGTGTCTTTGATGAAAGAAGATCGTTTGTGGGAAATTCTTGATAAAAGAGTATTGGATCAAAAGAACGCAGAGCAATTGAAAGAAGTTGCTTTCTTGGCAAGGAGATGTGTTAGAGTGAAAGGAAAGGAAAGGCCCACTATGAAAGAAGTAGCAATGGAACTACAGGGCATGAGGGCAATGGAAAAGCATCCTTGGGTAAAGGGTGAGGATCCAATGTCGGAAGAAAGTGAATACTTGCTGGGTCATATACCTGATGGTTATGAGGTAGCTAGTACAAGTAATTCAGTTGCCAATGATAGCATACAAAAGCAGATTGCATCCGAGATTGCAAATGGACGATGATATACCATTTGGTATTCATAGATGTTGTATTATGTCCTTTTTGTTTCATAGTTTATACCTACTTTTACCATGTTATTGTATTCTAGTCACTTTGATAGATGTTGTGAGTAAGTATCATTCGATCGATCAGTTAACAAGAGTTCTTTAATGTTTTCTTTTTAGGTTAAGGTACAAATTTGCCCTCAATGTTTTTAGCCACTCACAACCTATATCCTAAAGTATTTTTTAATTCAAAATTGTTAAGCTTTTATTGTAATAAATTCTTTTGAAGGGATTTTAAATATCTTTCTTCCTAATTATATACCATTCCTTTGGTTCAAAATTATAAACTATTTTTGAAAGATATTCTATCATGTTTAAAAATAGGGTTAAAGGAGAAAAAAATGCTTAGAACTTTTTCATGAGAGATGTGTCGTATCTTAATTTTTTTTTTTTAGAGTAATATCAGGTCAGAACTTTTAAAATGGATATAATATTGCCTCATCGTTAATCGGTTGACTGGTGGGTCTTTGCTTTGACCAATTACCCAGACATGTATCGCTTTCTAAGTGGTTCTTCTTCCACAGTCAAATTATTCTTCTCTCTCTTCTTCCCCACCCTCTCCTCTGCCCCCGCTGTTTCTCACTGACTCGTCTAGATCCCACTATGCAATATCCATTTTTGTTAGAGAGAATTACAGTCAGGTCTGCATAAAAAAATTAATTATTATAAAATTTGTTTATAATTAAATTAAATTACATTTGCAACACAATCAATTATTTATATAATTTAATTTAATTATTAATAAATTTTGTAATAATTAATTTTATCATGTGAGATTCTAATGTAATTCTCCTTTTTTGTTAAGCTGATTTCGGATCTTCCTCCGCCGATAGGCACTTCGTAGGTCCCGTATGGCTTCTGACTGTTGACACCATTGTGTGTTCCCCGTTCTCTAGTCTTTTCTACACACACGACACATCGTCATATCTGCCGATCCGCTAATCAACAACTTCTCCACCGTTGCCAGGCATAGCACCGCCAGCTTATGCCCTCTCAAATTGCCGCCGTGCGACTTCCGGTTTCCCCTGCTCCCAATAGCAAACCATGCCTTTGACAGACCCTAGCTAGAGTCCAGGCTTGATACAAGTGCCGTCGAGCTGAGAAAAAGTGGGGAGAGACGCGAGAGAGAGGAATAATTTGACTGGGGAAGAAGAACCACTCAGAGAGCGACAAGTGTCTGGGTTATATGTAGAGCAAAGATCAATGAATGATTGAGTTAACTGTGGGCAATATTACACCTTTTTTTAAGTTCTAAGGTAATAGTGTTCGGGAAAACATTTTAGGATATTAAGTGTTTTTCACAGAAAAAATTTTAGAATATTTTTATATTTTAACCCTTAAAGGTATTAGAAATTTTGTTGTTTTCTAGGAATATTAATTAATGAGTTTTTTCTAAAAATACACGTTGTGTTTAGATGTAGGGAGATTTAGAGTTGAATTTGAATTTGAGTTAAATTTATTATCTGAATTCATAAAAATTTTTGAATTTAAATTCCATCCAATCCAAATATAATTTATACTATTTTATTATAAATTTTTTATAATTTTAAATCCATCATACATCTTGGTCATTTCAAATGTCAGCCATTCTAACATTAGATCTCATCTCTTTCATTTCTCATCTTCCTTGTTCACTGTCTTTAAATTTGACATTCTTTTTCATTATTTGTAAATTTTAAATCTAAAATCTAAATTCATATTCACTAATCAAGACGCTATCTTAATGAATAGTTGAAGTTAATGTGATTTTCATATTCATTAGTGATTAAATTATAGACATATATAAAGTGTGTAAATTTTAATGATGTTAGACTATTTTTTCAAAAGTAAAAGTTAGTTCAAAATACTTTATATTTTTAAGAGAGAGAGAGAGTATTAGGCATGTTTGGTTTCTGTTTTTACAAATAAAAAAATGTTAAAAAAATTATTTGAATAAGTATTTTGAATTTAGTTGTTTATAATATTATTCTATTTTTTGTATTTAAAAACAAGAAAATAGAAATTTATTAAAGCTATTTTGGTTTTATTTTTCTTATTTTTAAAAGATATTATACTTGATTATTAAAAATCATATTTACCTTGATCAATCACTATCATAACTATTACCATTAACCATCGGTGCCCCTATCATTATTGGTCATTTTTTTAATTGTAAAACTGTTTTTCATACATATTTTCTTTTTGCTTTGTTTTGAAAAATGATTTTAAAATTGTATTGCAAAATAGGTTTTAAAAATAAAAAATAGGAACAAAATCAAAGCCTTAGTCATCTATGAAATCTTGTATTCTGAAATTGTAAGCACCTATATATATAGTACACACTGAATTTCCTAATATTAGTAAGCATATGATATACTGCCTCTAGTTATTAATTTTTTTTTTTTGGCCAGAGAAAGAGTCAATTTTATTAATCACAAAATATGTTATTAAATGCTAGTGGCAGAAAATATGTTACTAAAACCCTTATATTTAATAGAGACAGAGAGTGCTAAACCTTATTATATTTTAAAACCAAATTAATAAGTTTTAATATTTTTCTTAATCTTATAGTATATGTTAAAAATTATTTATAAATAGACCCATATGCGTGATGCATTGCAAAATTACACATGGTGCAGATTTGTCCACGTACGCATTATATTATAAATCCCCAAAATGTCGACATTGGAAGAGAAAAAACAGTCAGCTGAGTTGGAACAAAACTCATCGATAGACTTCGATCCTTTGGTGGGACTACACCGTCAACAGCCAAGCTTATCTGGTGGCTCTTCTCATTCCCAAGACCCTGCAAGATCAGGTCACTCGGTACACAGTTGCTCTTCTTTTTGCTTGTGATTACTTTTTCAGTTTCAGATGCCTCAGATTCATAGTCTTTACATTTTTGCTCTAAATTTAATTTTTTCTTGTTTAAATATCTTGCTTTCTTTTTCCTTCATCTTTCATTCCACACCCCCCTTTTCTGTTTCTTTTCTTTTCTCTTTTGAGGACAGGGAAAGTTCCTATTTTGATGGTTGATGTGGCTTGAATATATAAATTAGTTGATATTAAAATACTAGATAGATTTAAAAAAAATCATACTATTGCTTTTTAAAAAAGGGAAAAGAAAAATGTTCAATCTTATGTAGAAATCTTATAATAACGAGTCAGGAAACCCCCCCCCAATTTGTTATATAGATGCAATAATTAATAGGCATATTTTTTAAAATTTAAGTAATTTATTTCATTAAGTTTTTTCCCCCTCCTACTAGTAGTCCATCATAATTAAAGTTTTCACTTTGGTTAATTGCTTTTGACTATTTTAACCAATCAATTATAACCATGTATAAATAACCAATCAATTATAACCATGTATAAATATTTCCAACCTCATCATTCATATAACAATAATATAACATCACCTTTTTAAAAAGTTGATAACTTTTCAAGTTAGATTAAAAAAAATTAATTATTTGGTTCTTGTAGTTTTAACTTAATTATAACTCAGTCTTTAAACTTTGACTCATTATAACTCAATCTTTGAAGTTTTGACTTGATTTTAAATCAATTCCTGAACTTTGCCTCTTGCAATTTAGTCCTTGAAGTTTTAACCTCTTAAATATTGGTCTCTATATTTTAAAAAATAAAATTTTAAAGATTAAAAATATTTTAAAATTTATTACTAATATTTTAAATTATCAAATCCTTTTAATCTTTATAAATATTATAAATATTAAAATTTAAAAAAAAATAATATTTATAGTTTTATTATTTAAAATATAGGAATCAATATTTAAGATGTTGAAATTTTAGGGACTAAATTGTAAGAGGTAAAGTTCATAAATTGATTTAAATTCGAGTCAAAACTTTAAGGACTGAGTTATAATAAGTCAAAGTTGAGGGATTGAGTTATAAATGGATCAAAATTACAAGAACCAAATGATTAATCATAAATTAAAAGTTAAATGACAATTTGAATTCTAAACAGCAGCCAAGAGTAATTTGAATCCTAAATTTATTTTGATGAGTGTATTTTGACACCTAAACTTCCCCTATCATTACTTTAGAGTAAACGTCTGTTGGGTGGGGTCCAAATTCTCCATCTCTCTCTCTCCCTGCATCTCTGCTTTCTTCTGTCGTTGCATGTTCCACTCTCCCTCCTCTTTCTCTACACATTGTCCGTTAGAAGGTCATCTTCCTCTTCCTTCCTTCCTCACCATGAGTTAGCAGAATAGTGAAATGTGAAGGTTGTAATAATGAGAAAATTAGCTGTTATTGCTCTGTGCTAGACGTACACATATATAAGGCAATACAGCACGATAGTGCTTGGTGCAAAAAGCAACAGAAACAGAATGGTACAATACACGTGTCAAATAAATACATACTATACAAAATAAATATCTTCTAATATCTATCTTCTAGTATCTTCTGAATGACAAGGCTGTGATAATGTAGTTGGGCTAAATATGTTAGACTGGATCAATGAAGTATTGGATCAATTCATAAGAATCCCTCTTACACCCCCCTCAAACAAGAGGGTAAGGGCTGAACCTCGAGTTTAGACCTCAAGTAAACAAACTGAGTTGGAAACAAAGGTTTAGTCATCAAGTCTGCTATTTATTGAGAGGATGGAACATAATTAATAGATAATTGCCTAGCTAATACTTTGTCACAAACAAAATGCATATCAATTTCAATGTGTTTTGTTCAAGCATGATAAACAGGATTTCGAGCAAGAGCAATAGCACTTATGCTATCACACTAGATGATTGGAGTTTTGGTACGAGGAATTTTAAGTTCATTTAGCAATGATTGAAACCATGCGATTTCAACTGCAATATTAGCCAAAGCCCTGTATTCGGATTTTGTGCTTGAACGAGCTATAACATTTTGTTTCTTAGAGCACCAGGAACTTAAAGAATTGCCAAGATAAACACAATAACCAGAGACTGATTTCCGATCAATTGGACAGGCTGCCCAGTTTGCATCAGCAAAGGCAACAATATTTAAGTTTATAGAAGGTCTGATATATAACCCAAGGTTAGCAGTCCCTTTAAGATATCAAAAAATCCTCTTCACAGCTTGCTAGTGTGA